TAGCACCACGAGTACATAATATTCAAATGAGTTTTATATAACTACCCTCCTCTTCTTCCAACTTTCAGACTGCATGAAAGAGCAGCAGAAAACCAAACTAAATGTAAGAAAACCAGCCTGCAGGCCAGGGAAGGGCCTTTCCCACTTCCTCTGTCAAATAAAGCACGCATGTGCTCAATAAATCACACCTTAAAATAAACCACACTCACCTAAGAAAATGAAAAAAGAGCAGAGGAAGGACTGGGAGTGACCCACACAATCCTGCTCCCACCACACCAGCTGCCCCGGTAAAAAATCAGAAGGACCTGACCTGCACAGCTCTTGCACATGGAAGCTTTCCCTGATGTGACACCGTCACCCGAAAAGGCCAGGTCTTGAAAATACCACAGCTCACTGGAAAGTGTGTTTTTCTGCTGTTGGTATGAACTCTACCTTGGTAACAAGCAAATAAAGCAAATTCAGCCGAACCCACCCAAGGCAGAAGCCACTGGAACTCCTGGCATTTTTTGGAGACTGTAAGGTGAAACTTACCTTCAGCTCATAGAGACCTTTTAGCAAGTCCCATAGTCTACTTATTGCCATTACACGGCAAGAGTTGTCGTGGTTCATCAGTGTGGCCTAAGTAGTGGATTTCTGGGGATCAGTGAAAGAGGAGACACAACACAGTTGAAGAAGGGAAGCCAGTCAACATCCAGAGTTTGTCCACATGCTCAGCGGTACCTTGAGGCAGGGCCAACAGTCACCACACCTCTTTCTCTCCTAGCATCTGAAAGGCCCCAAGATGAGGACTGGTTTATTGGGTCTTAGTACTCCTGTTCCTGAGCTGGTATTCATTTTGTTGATTGTATTCTCAATTAATTCACTGCTTGTTATTGAACTTTGGTTGGAGAAGCAGAACACATATTTTAGTGCACCCTCCCTTGTCTTTAAAGAAAAAGTCATAAAGCTCTTACAGTTTATATCTTACTGATTTTTTTGCACGACCGCCAGTTGCTTAATCCTCTTATTACAATTTTTCTCATTCCTTTTGCACCATTTCCTGAGTGTCTCCTGTTTAGTTGCTTCAATTAGACTGCCTTTTTTCTCCTGACTTTTCCTCTGTTTTGCTTTGAAAGTCTATTTTACATGGTACCCCTCCCATGGTTTACATGTGTGTGGGCAGAGGAGCCAGACTAAGAGGTGGCTGCTGTCGGACAGGGTAATAGAAACAAAATCTTCATTTAGCTATTCATCTGGCACAGCTAATGTCTCTTTTCTCATGGTTGGCACTCCTGGGTATTTCAGATATGGGCTAAACAGGGAAAATGAAGTGTTGATGAGACGTACGGTGGCATGATTATTGGCCACAAATGGAGTCACCGTTCAGGTCAGGTTGTACTGTATCTGTAAAATATGAGAGTTAAACAAGAATTTGGATTACTTTCCTGTGTTACAGACTTGAACTTTCCTCCCTTTTCCTCATTCAGCTGTAGGGTAAGAAAGCCTCTGCTTTCCATCCTCTTCCAGGAAGACTTCAGAAAAACTAAACGGATTAAAAATTGGGTGAGATCCTCACCTTCTCTGTAGCCCCTTTTTAAGGAGCCAGAAGAGTGTGCAAAGGCTCAAGGGCTACGCCAGCAGTGCAGGGGCAGGACCCAAGTGCCCACCACCTTTCCAGCAATGCTGTTTGTCGTGGGCAGAGCTACAGCGTGCAACAAGGATGTTCTGGGAGCGTGGGCAGAGGGAGGTCTAGCTGGAATCAGTGTGGAGACATTTTTCTAGCTCTTTGACCAGAGCAGCCACCAGGGGTGGCCACCAGGGGTGGCTAGGACATGTCTGCATAAGAATTTACACTTCTGTGAGGTTTGGGGTGAATACACACATGAAGGTACTTACTGCAAGATAGACGACATCTTTTTCTAGTTACCATTGGTCTGGAACTGGTTTAAACAAAGCCAAAAAAGAATCCATTCCTGGAATGATTGCTCACATGGGGAACTCTGTTTATAAAGCCAAAGTAATTTAGCTACAATGGCATAAGTATCTTCCTTAATTCCATAACTAGCTTCCTTTGTGTCAGACACCTTCCCTTGCCATTTTAGCAAGAGCCACAAGGCACCCTCCATCTGGACAGGCACAAAAACTAGCTGTAGGATTTGAGGAGTTTGTTGCTACTGTCAGACAATCTTAAAATATAAATTTTCTTCTCAAACTGAGAATTCAACTCATTAGAACTCACAGGTAAGATATGCAAAGGATGGTAAAAGAAAGCTTTCTAACATCTTTATTCTGCATACAGTAAAAAGAAAAAAGATGAAGGTGATGTAGAACAGTGGTTAAGTTCCCCATGAACTTCCTATTAGACTCCCTGCCTTCTCATATGTGACCAAAATCTTTTTTTAATAAACCTGTTATTATAGTTCAGAGTCTCTGCCAAGTGTTTACAGTGTTGCCCTCAGTAACAAGTCTCAGCCAAGGGACTTAATTAAAGGTAACCAGCTTTTTCAGTTATGGAATTGTCCTTAAACATCAAAAGGCAAGTGAACTTTAATAATAAAATCTGCAATTGCTTTTCATTTAAGAGAAGTTCTTTACTCCTCACTGTATGTAATCAGTTACTTCTTAGAAGGCATATAGTCTTTTCACATATAATTTCCCACAAGCATTTACAGATTTTATGACAAGTAACATAACGTTTGGAGTTCTGGCTTTATGTGAGAATCTCAGATTTCATACTTCCTTCTTGAGCTGATTCATAGATATAGGGAAGAATGTAAAAACTTAAAGAAGAATGTTTATAAAGGATGCCCCTTTTGATCTCACAATTTTTTAGTGTCCTTACAATTTTAGAGGCTTTGCTTTTCATTTTGGAGCACTTAGTTCTGCATATGTTGCAATTTTTTTTTACAGCCTTCTCAGAGGAGGTTCTACCTAGGAGGGCTTCTAAGTTGGTTTGGGGAGGGTGCTGAAGAGCTCTCTGAAAGTCTCGGATGGACAAAGGCAGGGGACACGGCTGCTGCCTCCCTGGGCAGAGCTGCACACCTGCTAAGTGAGGCTGGACCTGAGCTTTCATTCACAGTCCCTCATGGCCCAGCGTATTCACGTAAGACGTGGTCCATGCAGCTTCTACTGATGTCCTGGGCTAGAAACCAGAGCGGCCAAACCTGACAGGTGGACCTGGACCCCAGGCCAAGGTTGAGGCCCTGGCTGACTCACCGGCAGGAGAAGGGCAGGCTGTGACGTTGATGCTCTTTCCTCCCATCGGTGCAGGACGAGGGGGCAGTGCCAGCCTGTGCTGCCTGCTGGACCACACTGCCCAGTGCCATTTTGCCGAGCCGTTCTCCTTCAGAGGATGGGGGTGGACAGAGCAGCCACTTTCCCAGGTAAGAAAGTGCCTTTCTCCTCCCACTGCGTGGAAGTTTTGACTTCCCTGTGCCCGCAGTGTTAATCATTTACAACCTCTTAAACCCAGCCTGACCCTGGGACCCAGACTGTGGAGGTCAAACACAGCTGCCCAGCAGGTCTGGAGATGTCAGAGGCGCCGGGGCTGCACCCTCAGCCACCCTGGTCGTGGAGCTGGGCAGCTCTCACACAGGGCCAGGGAGCCAGGTAAAGGCAGCAATTAGCCCCAGAAAAATATGCGGAGAGCAATGAATCACGGGTGTAACATCACACGTGAGGTGGGGCCGGCAGCGAGGAGTTACCGGATTGCTTCCTCTGACCTTTGCTCCTTCTGCTGCACCTCGGTGTGCACCTTCTGCTGCTGAAGGCTGAGGACTGTTCCACTTCTCCTCGTTCATTTACCTGCTTCATGTACCACCTCCCTTTCTCCAGCTGGCAAGCTGACCAGGGTAAGCAGTCACTAGGAGGTCTCAGGGGCAAGCCAGTGCAGACTGGGACAGGGGATCTAGAGAGCCCACCAAACCTCAGATCCTGGAGCGTGCCCACACATGAGGAGACAAAGCCCCAGCTGTCCCCAACCGGAGTTGGCAGTAGTCCTGCTTCGAGCAGCAGCGAGGATGGGGGACTTCCAGCCACCCCTTCCAGACAGTATTTCACCAACTCTGTGAAGTCATTCACCTGCTCTTCCCACAGCCACACCGGCTGCTTCCAGCTCCACCTCTAAACGTGGTACCATCCGCTCAGACACCTCCTGGAAAAAACAGGTTGTCCCAGCGCAAAAAGAAGTCAAAGCCTGGCATTGTGATTTGTACAGATCTGGCTGATTTCAGATGCCTTTTCCTTTTCACACGCTCTTTCTTCTGCTTCTTGAATTCAGACTTATAAACTCTCCAGCACGGCATCCATCTCCTCCACATTTGTGAAAAACTTTTAAGCCTTGACATGTAAACATCAACAAAGCTCCTTATTAATATAATATATATATAATATTAATAAAGTCCTAGACTCTTTGAGACTGGATTGTGGGATAGCTGTATGGTCCATGTCATAGTGGTGACGAATAGTTCAGCTATGAGATGCTTTATGGATGACTTTGTCTTCTCACCATCTCCATCTGATTTTGAGCCGTAATAGAGAAATCAGCGGAGCGGGCTGTGGGAAGAGTGCTGCATTCCTGAGCTGGGTGAAACAACTGGTTGTGTGGAGTAAGCATTTACTTGGGATCACATAAACACTTCCAACTTGAAAGAGCCACAATCTCTACATCCCAGTTTGTTTATATTTAACTTTGTAGATCTCGGCTTGTGTGTTTTGCTAGTCTAACTAATGATGCTATACGAGTCCGACTGGATTGTGTCAAAATTTTCTGTTTACATTATGTAGTCTTCATGGTTTGAAAAGAAAACAAGCACAAGAGTACAAACAGTGGTGTATTGTAACGAAATGCCTTGTATGTAAAGGAAATGCTCATGCTCTTCACCAAGCCTGTAGAGCGCAGATCTTAGTGATACTGAAGAGCCCTTGATAACAATTACGGCCCAATTCCAATGAAAAACGGTGTAGATGAAGATATTCCATGTGAAAATTCGCCACAAAGAAAACCTGACAGCCTAAATAGACTGGCGAGAGCAGGCTGAGTGAGTATGCAAACGGCTCGTTAGTGGTTTAATTTATAGTGGCGCTTATTTCACCTTCACCAGGAAAACCCCTCTGCCGTCCGTACATTCCCCTTCCATTTCTGCCGGGGATGGGTGACATCCGTGCCAGGGGAGGACAATTCTCCTCCCCCCGCCGGGCGCAGCAAACAGCGGGCGAGAGCTCGGTATTGTTTGCAGCCCCCATATCGCCTCGGCAGGGAAAAAAAACACAAAACCCACGTTATTTATTCCGAGCGCCGCAGCGGGACGGGGCGAGGGGCGGCGGGGCCCATCGGGGCTGAGCAGCACCGGGCTCCGACCCTCCCGCGCCCGAGGGGGCGGCCGGTGCGGAGGTCGCGCTGCCGCCCGCCCCGCTCTCCAGGGAGGGGGTGCGGGAGTCCCGTCCCCCCGGTGAGAGGGGGAAAGGAGGAGGGGGTCTGTTGAAAATCTGCCGGCCGCCGCGGGGGGACACAGCCGGACCCGCGCCCCACTCCGCCCCGTTCCGCCCGTTCAGCCGCCCCCGGCCGGGCGGAGGGAGGCGGGAGGGAGGCGGGGGGGAGGGGAGGACCGCGGGGCGGAGGGGAGAGGGGCCGCCCCCCCCCTCCCGCACACGCCCGCCC